GTATGTCTGTAAGTTGTTGCTATTGTCGGGACCCTCTTGAAAACGAGATGGTGCATCTCAAGGGGTTTATCCCAATCAATAAACATTTCTATATATATTATATAGAAATTATGGATTTACACTCACTTCACAACCCCTCTCAGCTGTTATGGAAATTAAATCAATGTGTGGATTATTTGATATTATTGTTGCTATCCTGTTAAAGTAATAGTTTGACATTTTGGGAAATACACAGTTAGATAAACCTACTGTGAATATGAATCCACAGCTAGCAGATGTTAGCTTAGCATAATAATGAGAGGATACAGCTCTGGCTCTGAGTGGAAAAAACATTTAAGATTTACTAACATTGTGGTTTTAAAGACTATTATTGTTTTTTGCCTGTAGTGAGATCATAGGCTTTTCCCATAATTGCCAAATTACAAAACGAGTTTTAACTTTTAGGTTCGGTCAAGCCAATCCACCTAATCCGAGATCTTTTACAGCATGTGACCCACGGCTGGTTGGCTTGATTCAAAATCTCTGCAGATTGCTGCTGCTGAGACTTTTCCCCACACAGATAGTAGGTTATTAACTGTGGCCAACCGTATTCCTGGAATTTAACGCACCGCACTGTCCACAGTACAGCTAATCCTCATAAAAGGAAGATAGAGGAGGAAAAGTGCAGGGAGAGAAGGGGACTGGGGAAGGAGAGGAGTGTGCTGCAGAGTTGCAGAGGTAAAGAGGGGGAAGAGAAGCAGAGAAACAAGCACTCATGAAATATTGAAACGCAAGAAAAACGAAGTGAGTGCTGAAGTAAAGGTGGGTTGTGTTGAGTGTATTGGTTTAGATCAAAAGGTAGAATTTCCCAAAGCTTTCAGCCTATTGAGGGACAGAGAACCCAGGTTGGGAACCAGCTTTGCAGATGAATATAGTCTTTGAATTTCAATAAATATTAAACACATCCAAACCCTCCCATCTGTCATTGAAACAGGACAAAAAAGACAAAAGGCTATGACACATTAAACCGATAATCGGACGTCGATCAATGTCACGCCGTCACTGAGCGTCTGTTGTCTATCTTTTGTGGTGTGTCGTCAATGGTGCTCGATTTGGCGCGGAGCCTACCGGCATTTAAAATAGCTCTGATTGGCTAATAAATCAAGCATATCACTGCATGAGAAGATAAACATGTAAGGACAACAAAGTCAAGAGGGTATACACAGTATCCTTTCGTGTTTTTACCTTTTAAGTCATTATCACACCACCACTATCTCACCACTACATGTTTCACCATTTCATGTTGTTTTGAAAATATTAAATGTGTGTACCCTAACAACCGTTGGAAAACAGTACAGTAAGAATGTTCCGATTTGCCTTTTTGAACGATGACGGCAGACTTGTGCCTCCTGTTGTTTGTTTTGGAAAGCTACTTCCTCTGGAGCTAGTCTTCACGCTAACAATCGGCTCTGTTGCCTCAGGTTCTTTAAAGTCAATTTGGTGTTTTTTTTAATAGTTATTTCAAATAACTGCACAGCACACCATGCAAACTAGAGATTTAGAAAGGCAGAGAGAATTAAATTGCGAGTCAGGAGGTCATATGCCTGTTAATAAAGCATGGAGCGTGGATAGTGAGGTGACGGGAGGATACAGCAGGTTATCATCCAAAGGTCTGAGCCCATGGTGTTGTGTAATTAGATTAACAACAGAACCGTGTGGTCGAATGTGACCTCTATCCGTGATGCTGCCTTGCTGTCTTTCTGCCTTGTACACACACAAACACACACACACAAGCACACACAGTAAACACACATACATGACTTTGTAACCTTTGTGGCATAACATACGTTCTCATCTATCTTAATGAAGACTCCAGTTGCTGGTGGCCAGAACATGAGATCCAGATGAGCAGTTTGACGGCACGTCCTCTAAAAGTCTTGACTTGAGGTTCATGACCTCGCTGACCTTTCATTTATGAACAGGAATAAAAAGGTGTTAGATGCTATCATCCCTTTTCAGTCTGAAAAGCAAGTAACTACAGTCAATCAGTCAAACATTTTTTTTTGAATACATTTGTGAATATTATTGACTTTTTGTTTGGGTCCACCAGATTAATTTGGGAACTCAGGCTATTTCATTTCATTTCAAACCTTTAGTTATCCAGGTGTATCCCATTGAGATCATTGATCTCTTTTTCAAGGGAGAGCTGCTCAAGTAGGTTCCACATGAAACATAAAAACATAAACAGAACAACAAAAAGGACATAATACAGCATCATTACAGGGATTACAATTTACATAACTATCCACATGAGCAGGTACCAACAGCTTCCGATTGAGTAGCATCCAACCGAGCTTTAAAAACATTTAGTGGCACCAGATTGCTCAGTTTCCATTTAAATTGCAGACTATTCCAAGACAGTGGAGCTGCGCATCTAAAAGCTATCTTCCCTAAGACAGTCCTAGCAGTTGGCACATTTAATAAAACCACAGCATTCGATCTCAGGCAGTAGCCACTTACAATTCACCGTGAGATCAGGGAGCAGATGTAGGATGGAAGTTTCCCTAACATGGCTTTGTATATAAAAATGAACCAGTGACTGAGCCTCCGTACAGTTAGTGAAGGCAAACCAGCCCTTGCATACAGGGTACAGTGATGGGTTAATGCTTTACAGTTTGTCACAAATATCAGTGCGCTGTGAAACGCAGCATCTAACTTGACCAGGCAATGGGTAGGTGCATTCATATACATCAAATCACCATAATCCAGCACAGGTAAAAAGGTCACAGTGACTAGCCTTTTCCTGGCCTCCAGCGAGAAACAGGACTTGTTCCTGTAGAAGAAACCTAGCCTAACCCTCAGCTTTTTAAGCAGGTTATTGACATGACGTTTAAAAGTGAGACAATCATCAAGCCAGATACCAAGATATTTGTAACAGGTAAACACTTCAAGTTTTATTCCTTGCGTAGTTACAATATCTAAAACAGGCTCTGGTGTCTTTTTAGCTTTTGAAAAGAGCATTACCTTGGTTTTATCAACATTTAAAAGAAGCTTTAGTCCAGAGAGCTGAGTCTGAATAATGTTAAAAACAGCTTGCAATTCAACAACAGCCTCCTTAATGGAGGGACCTGCAAAATACATAACGGTATCGTCCGCATAAAAATGTAAGGTTGCTCCATCGACATTTTCACCTAAACTATTGATGTAGATGGAGAATAAAAGTGGACCTAAAACAGAACCTTGAGGAATACCATTAGTAATGTTTAACCACTCAGAAGAAAGCCCATCAAAATGAACACATTGGGACCTTTCAGAGAGGTAGTTTTCAAACCACCCCACTGCATGGCTGGATATGCCGATACTGACCAGCCTCTGCTTCAAAATGGGATGATCGACGGTATCAAACGCTTTGGACAGGTCAATAAATAGAGCTGCACAACTCTGCTTATTATCTAAAATACTCGCCACATCATTCACCACTTTCATTGTGGCAGTGATGGTGCTATGTTGCTTTCTGAAGCCTGACTGATGTTTAGACAGGATGTCATTTGTACATAAAAACACTCACTAGGCGTTCAAGAACCTTAGCCAGAACTGATCATTTAAACCGGCCGGTTTCTTAGGATCTAACTTGGTTAACGAACAACATCAACAGTAAAAGGAGTAAAACTAAAAGGGTTTTCCAAAACACGTTTTTCAGTCACAGACTGTGGTGTTCACAGAAGTGACAGAATCAAACAGAGAGCCATAGGACACAAAATGCTCATTAAAACAATTTAGCATAGTGGCCCTGTCCGATATAGTGCCAGATGCTGTGGTAAGGCACGGTAGCTCATTACGGATATCACCGGTGGATATCGATTTTATGGCTTTCCAAAATGTTCCAGGATTATTCAGGTTCTTTGTGGTAACTGACAGATAATACTTAGACTAAGCACTTTTGATTTGCGATGTCAAGCTATTTCTTAGCTGCCTAAAGCGTAGCCATTCTACCTCTGAGCCTGATTTCCTAGCCTTTGCCCAGGCCTTGTTTCTCTCATGTAGGAGACTAGATAATTCAGCAGAAAACCAAGGATTGTCTCGTCCCTTCACTCTAAATGTACGCAGGGGTGCATGTCTATCTATAATTTCCATAAAACCAAGATAAAAATAAAACCATGCAGTTTCAATATCAGCACACAGATCGATTTTACCCCAATCAAAATCAAACAGATTATGTACAAAACCCTGCTCCACAAAATGTTTTTTGTCTCTCTTACTGATAATGCAAGGTTTACCCTTTTGGACTTTAGTGTCCCTAATTGTGGCTACAACACAGTGATCACTCAGATCATTTGCAAATACTCCCACAGATGAGTATTTATGGGGACCATTAGTTAAAATTAGATCAATTAAGGAGGATTTATTTGGGGACTTAATGTTAGGGCGAGTAGGACTGTCAACAATCTGAGTAACATTGAGAGAGATACAAAGGTTTTTAAAATCCTCTGACACAGAAGTTAACCAGTCCCAATTAAAATCACCAAGCAGCACTATTTCCTTGTAGTCAAGTTGAGATAAAAGTGTTGCCAATGAAGATAAAGAGTCCTTGACAGCTGAGGGGGTCTGTAGCAGCCCACCACCATGACCTGTTGACCCTTTGCTACTTTGATATTTAAAGCTAAACATTCTAGTTGTAACCATCTTGGTTACACAAAAACCATGCTATGAATCTGAAAAGAGACAGGTTGCTCATTTCCCGACCTCTTGTTTTGATCATCTGGGAACATGACATCCTGGTGTTACATGTCAGCAGTAGATACTATTTAGACAGGAACAGGATACTCTATTTGAATGCCTAATATTATCCATCATGATGCCAGAAATATGGTTCAAACACTAGTCTCGACTGTGACATGTTATGTTAGACCTGGTGTGACAAACATTTTTTCAGTGTTTGAATATATTTATAGTAGTTATTAGCTTGCTTAGAATCAATCCTGTTTTCTTTTTGAGTGAAACAGCTTCAAAACGTGGGCAGATGAAAAACAACATATTTTATTTCACATTTTTATTGTTCATCATAATGAAACAGCATCACTGATATAAAAACATTCCCCTCTGCTCGGGAACAATTACAAACGTGAATGTTAGGCCTGATCCACAGGAAGCAGCTGTGAACAGAAGAAACATGGAGCCAGTGCTTCTCCTTGGCTAGAGATCTATAGAAAAACAAGGCAGTTGGTTCTGTACAACTCCTCTTTAAACACTTGTCTGCTAAAACAGATTCTCAAGACAACTCCTCATCTAGGTCAGCACAAGATACAACAGCATTGTACAGCATGGTTCAATCATGCAAGAGTTGAAGTGATTTGTCCAAAAGTGAGAAGAAAGATCCATACAGACTAGATACCTGAGATACTAAAGGGGGTAGAGGTGTGGTGCTGGAAGCATTCTTTAAAAGAATACTGCAGCCTTTTTAAAATGCGAAATGTACAAAGACTAAAACTCAAGCTAATGAACAGACAAAGCTGTTGACTACAGCTGAGCAAAATAAGCCACTGAAGGTAGGAGGCTAATAAAGTCACAGACAAATATCCGTGAAAAAATGAAGAGCAGGTGAGCCAGATTTTCTAACTGAGAACAATCCATTATTTAACATTCATAGTGAAGTGGCTGCGTGGACCTCACAGTCATATATCCTGCTGTCTCTATCATGCCGAGGAAAGATTCACTTCAAGTAACATCATGGAAATTAAACCTCACTCTGCGTGGTTGAAGTGTTCTGTCAAAAATAACCTACCTATTGCGTGAAAATACTTTGGATTATCGTGTTATACTTTTGTTACAGCCTTATTATTTAATATTCTGTTTGCTTTTTAGAATCAGAATCAAAAACAGGTTTATTACCAGGTAGGTTTACACGTACGAGGAATTTGACCTTTAATCTCACCCCAGGGTTATTCAGCAGGATCCAATAAGCTACAGTTACTTTGCTTTTGCTTCTGAGACTTCTGGAAGAACTTTGTTATGTTTGATTAATTTATCCTGATATGACGAATTAACATTAAAACATGAAAATGGATATATAGAGACCACTTTTTCTACAAATATACAAGCTTCAAATAAAGGAAGAAAAAACTACTGTTTTACAGCAAGAAAAAAAATGTAATACACGGTATATATATTTATATATTTACTAAAACCAACACTGGATTACAGAAGACTTTTAAGGTCCCCCATCAACTCACTCACAGACAATGTGTGTCAGTGTACCATAAAATAAAGATTATTTACAGAGCATATACAATTGTCAAAAAATACCATGTTTGTAACCCAAAAACATGCACAAAACACCATTTCATTTGAAATATAAATTTGCTTCATGTATGTAGATCCACAAAGGATCTATACATGTTTTCCACTTTGGCTGTGTTGGTGACACATAACGGCGTCGAAGAAGAGGCGAACTGAGGTTTCGGTGTTGTCGTCAATTATTTTACCAAAGAAAGGCACCGGTATTAGCAGCCAATTTGAGAACAAGGCCAATACAAAAAAAACAATAATTTAATTGGGCAATGACACATAATAAAACTTAATTCATTAGGCTTTCAGTGAAAGTATGTAAATATGTGTCGATAAATCCACTGACTTTAAAAATGTAGTTCATGACCCCTGTTTATACTTACAAAATAAATATCTGCATTTTCTTGAACATCAAAAATGTTTACTTTAAAGGCAGATTTGTGTGTATTTTAGTGTGTCTAGCAGTGCATTCATGAAAAATGGTATGCTAAAGTTGAAGCTAGCTCCTGTAGAGGGTTAGCTAAGCCTAGCATAAGAACGTAGGTGTGGGAAAACAACTAACCCTGCTCGGTCCAAAGTTAAATCCCACCTCTAAAGCTTAGTAATGCAGACACCATTTGTCATTAGTTAAAGTTATGAAATATAAAAATATCGAGTTGTGTTTCTAAGTGGAGTTAGCTAGCATATTTACTCTCCAAGCTAACCACTGCTGGCTTTAACGTTAGCTTCATAGTGTACCAATCTTCTAATTTAACTGACAGGAAGGAATACAATTCCCAAAATGTCCGAATATTCTTCTAAGATGAGGACCACATAATCATGTTAAGGCCTTTCCTTAGATATCATTTTTGAAGGAGTGACATTTATAGTAGGCCTCTGGCACAAGTTGAATTTACCAATTTTTTGTTGTATTTTATTCACATTTGAATGTGCATTTTTGTAAACTACCTATGGTCTGATATGCACCTAGCCGTCCAAGAAATTATGTAAATTAAACATATTTCCTGTCTCTTTTTAAATGCCGAAAATCACCATTACCTTTGGGGATTGATAATGTAGTATAACATTTAATGTGGGGCGACATTTCTTATTGCAGCAGCTGTGTTTTCTGAAAGATTGGAACATTTTGCCTCTTATGCCTTTTATGAAGCAAAGTAAGATATTTGTTACATCTCCCGCTACCTAAACACATAACTATTTACATTGACACCTTGCATTTTCGGATCCACTAATACGGAAAGCATCTCTTGGCTTCTTTGAAGATCCTTGAGTGTGTGTTAACCCACTTGACCGGTAACTGCAGACTTTGGCGAAGATTCTGGTTGTTAACATTTAGCAGAACAGCAAAACTATCCTTATTTAAAGTTCTACATTATTGAGTTATGTTGTAGAATCACCGTGGTTTTGAGATTAGCCCAAAAATACAGGTGTAGATATGTCTTACTGTGTCTCTACGTGTGTTAAAGGTAATGCTTGAAGTGCTCCTTGTTTTGTGAAGGACGACACACTACCTCCAACTGTCAGCCCTTCAAGTGCACAGAGGACCGAGGGACTTGTATTGTCTTTCCACCCCTGCAAGTTGCAGTCCACAGATCTGTGCCAGGTTTGTTCGGCTCTTCATAGATGGAAGAAATCAGGAAGATCACATGATTTCAGGCTGTCATGGTGGCTCGTTAAAGTCCGTTTTCCTCCTCTCCGGGATTTTAATCTCTCATATTAGTTGTGTCACATCCCTGTTCCCAGATCTTGGACCAGCTGCAGTGGGTGGAAGGGGTTTGCTGCACTACTAAACGTGTATCTAAGTTGGGGTTTAGTGACCCCCGCTGGAGCCTGGGGGGTTGTGGATCCAATCGAGGACGATGAGTGACAAGCTGCTAATCATAAAGACGACTCCCACGATGAGAAAGACTAATGCCTGAAGAGAGACGGAGGAGGGGGTTAATGTGACGGCTCAAACTTCTGATGGTTTCAAATCTATTGAAAAAAAAAATTGTGTGCGAAAGATGTACACTTACCCCGATCTTTTGTGGGGAGCGGAACGGCACTGATTTTACCAGGCGGATGTAAAAGGCAGCAGGGAGGATGAAGATGAGCATAGTGGCTGCAGAGGAACCTGCAATAAAATCCAGGAAGAAGACAGATTCAGCTATTTGTATTTTTCAGACAGATGCTATTTTAAATGGTAGATAAATAGATATAAAGCTTTTAAATGCATACAGGCAAATAATGCATGTATAGCCATGACACCAGCAATTCAAAATAACTGATTATCCACACTGTCTGTAGCATGTGGAAGGAAACACATCGGCATTATCTGAAGTGATGTAAGAGCGATCCAAATCATTATTATTTTTAACTCTTTTGCATTAAACAAACAAAACAATAAACGTCTTTCTTCCAACAGTACCAATGTTCACACATGGCTTTAACCTGGAAGCGATTTCCATTCTGATTATACAAGAGAATAAAGATGTTTATGCAAAAGCACTGCAGCTTAAATTCAGGGAGACATGTCTACATATTTGTGCTTTTCAGTGTGGGCACTGGGAACCTGATCGTTTGTTTCCAGTGGTCACAAACGGCTCACGAGATGGCATAGCTGACTCGACCTGACATTTAAAGCTTATGTAACGTCTTTACTTAATAAAATGACCCTTAAACTTAAGATACTAATCAGGCCTCTAATGCCTGTTTTATTAACTCATATCTGCCCACGTTGAGGGGTTTTGCATGATTACCTGGAACTTCCTCAACAGGTTGTTACTAGTTCTTACTAGCGACTAAGGCCTTTTGGATTCCTAGATCAAGCATTGTTATTTTTTGTTAATTGACAGGTCAGTTATTTAAAAGAGGAAAGAGACTATATTGGATTGGTATTAGATTTGCATCTGTCACATGAAAAAGTGATAAGTAGAAACCCTGTCAACCCTTTTTCCTGTGCATCAAAGTGCTCAGAGGCAGGACTCACCGATGAAGCCGAAGATATCCCTGATGGAGGGGACGAAGATCACCAACATGTTGTTGAAGGCCAGGACGGCAGCAGCAATCAGAATGTGACGCAGCCAGCTAAACTCCCGACCGCTGAAAATTAGTGTATTGATGGAGGAGCGGATCTGGGGAAAAACAAGATTAAGATTTGACAATTAAAGATTAGCTTGATCATAAGGATTCAGACAAGTTCACCTTCAAGTATGAACTGAAATCAGATCATTTTTTAGAACTTTATTAGTGTCTGTATCTGTATGGTTTGTGAGAGTAAAACACATTTCAACCTACTACAGGGGCACCCTCCTGTCTTTGTCTGTCTAAGAAACAAATAAGTAACAACAGTTAGTCTGTTGACCTGTGCCCGAGGCTGATTCCCAAACTTGGCCGCTGACTGAATTATGCCACAAGGCTTCTTTTGAGATTCTTAATTTAATTTAATTTCAAACCTTTATTTATCCAGGTGAATCCCTTGAGATTTTTCAAGGGAGACCTGCAACCTACTCTGTGTGTGGTATGTGCGGGGTAAAGAGAGTGCAGGAGATCCTAGCTAAGACGCCTGGTGCTGCTGAGCCACAGGCAGCCTGTCGAGCCTCCAGTGGGTGAAAGGTTGCGAGTATCAGGTAAAACCTGAGGGCCCATATGCTCACAGGCTAGAGAGAAAGGTTACAGGGGCGGTGTTTACAGGGCCCATTCAAAAAGGCAGAGGATTATCTCCTGCATTGTAATGGAGGTTTAGGATTGCATCAGCCGGTAGTGAGAGGAGGGCGGGACTCCTGCAGGGGGGGTGTGTCTTTACACCAAGCAGTTATTGTCACTGGTAGTTGATTATTTGTTTCTGTCTGTCTTCCTATCTCTCTTACTCACTAGTCCCACATTAAGGCAGACTAGGGCCACCAGTTACCATGACAACCTGTTTAATCACAGCCCGTGGAGACACTTGTATGTAGAGAATAAAACAACTTCTTTATTTAGCATGTGTACTATTCCCACTGCTGGCAGAGCTCCACATGCCCTTCTGTAAATCCTTTCAACTCTGACTGATGAACTGGGTTTATATCCAGTGAGTATGGCGTAGGAAAAAAAAATCACATTAACAGGATTTTCTGCTCTGTCAGATTGAACCAAGTGACCTCCATCGTGACAGTCAGGAGGCACTGGGATGGCGCCTGCACTTTACTGTACACTATCAGAACAGTTTATGCAAGTTAAAGCCAAGACTCATTTATAATAGTCTCCCTCCTGAAACTCTATAATTGTGCCCTACCCCCCCTTCCACCAGCTGTTGCGTTCAGTCACAGTCTGGAAACTAGAGCCTGGATGCGGCATTTCTCTCCAAGGCTCCAAACTACTCAGCACCCGACTGTTACCTGGCGCAAGTGTTTTGGTGTTTGTGTGATATTTACACACTTTTAGCCCCCCACTCTTTACCTCAGATGCCTGCAGTCACATGCACACACACAGAGCATGCGGAGAGACTAGTTTAAGCCAGCTGATTGACCCCAGACACATCTGGATTCAACCAGTAAGCAAAAAAATGCAAGTTAGTTGGGTTTATATTGTTAAAGATACTCAGAGTCTGTAGAAGACTTCACTACATGATGGTTGGATGTGAAGGTGGAGGTGTAATCAGCTCGTGTGCAGGGTCTCCCACAGTTTCAGTCTCAGCTGGAGCCTGAGAACTGGGGCATGTTTGACTCCACGTAAAGCCTTTTCATTATGGGTTGGATCCTGGCAAAGCCCTGTGTGATCTGGCCTCTGTTAGCATCTATCCCCACCTGACTGCACACACACACACACACACACACACACACACACACACACACACACACACACACACACACACACACACACACACACACACACACACACACACACACACACACACACACACACACACACACACACACACACACACACACACACACACACACACACACACACACACACACTTTCATGCCTCAACAAGTCTCTAAACTCCCACACACATATTCCCACTCTATAGAAGTTTCCCGCTGGAGCCAAGGACGGTGGCAGACAAAGCTAATCCGTAGCTGAAGGTCTGCAGCATTTCATTTCCCAACAAGATGAAGGTCAGAGGGATTCAAAGTGAAACCCTCAAATGTCAAACGGATACTTGGCAGAGCTTCAGACCTTACATCCAAGTCTGTTAATCTTTTAAACAATGTTACATTTACTGCAAACATATTTATGGCCAGTTGATTAAACATTCCTAACACAAATGAAGATTTACATTCATGCACAAATCAACTTAAGCATTAGCTAAGGTCAGCCACTCTCTTTGCAACTTAAAAGAAAAACTACCTTATGACACAGGAATCCAGGCAGGTAAACACAAGCCAAAACCAGTTATGTTACTCTTTTGACATTCGGCTTCACAGACGATGTATTGCACATTCTGTGGCTTTCTTAAGGAGCTGTAGTGTGATGTTTCTGACTTTTCTCTGAGCTACAACTGACCACAGCATGCTTTCAGAGGACACACCTAACCCATGCAGATGGTTCTGAACTACACATTGCACCCTTATCGCACAATTATCCATGTGCTTGTAGTTCCTAATAAAACTAGAAGGGATTTAGGTCTATAGCCACCGTCAGACATTATAACATAGTCCCTCACTATCTGACTCTGATTTTAATTCTAACCTTTAGCTGACACATTCGGAGGCTTGCTATGTCTCTTCCCCTCCCTCCAGCCAGATCAAACCACCCCCCACCCTCCCAATGTCAATGGCTCCGCCTCCATTTATTTCCCTGAAGGTAGCAGTCAGGGTGAGGGTTTTTCCACTGTCCAGCATGAGCCTGTAAACTTCCACTGCAGAGAGAGGGGGATCCTCGCTCACATTCCCCCATTGCAGAAAAAAAGGAGCGTCTGATGTGTGTGTACGAGGGTGTGTGTGTGTGTGTCAGTCAGAAGGTGATAACGGGACGAGGGTGAACAAAATCATCAGCTAAATGTAACAGAATGTGTAGAACGTGGTTAGTGGTTATATTGTAGCACAGATATGTGTGGCTGCTGTTTATATTCTGTAACCATGCATAAACGTGTGTCTTTTTGAGCATTTACTGCTGCATCATTCTCTGTCAGCACTTCCCCGTCACCACATAGCCACACCTGTGCTGCCCTCTCCTGGCTGCCTCCTGTAGTTGCAGATACTTCTTTACATGAAACGTGTTTGCATGGAAGCTAAAACAGGACAGGAAACCTCCTCTGGCCATCAGCCCTCCTTCTTCCCGTCATGTCAGGCAAGGGCTAGCTAAAATTAGACCACGGACATACTGTACATGGAGTGTGAAGGAAGGAAGGAGTGTGTGTGAGTGAGGGCCTTACGTTTCTGTAGCTGGAAACCCTTGACCCCAGGTTAGGTGAAAACCAAAAAAAGAGTCCTTACAGCCCCGATCCCAAAGTGTGTATGTTTGTGTTGTAAGCAGAAAGACACAAAGTGGCAGTAATGTTCCACTAAATGTAGCTGGCAAGATAATTCCAATTACAAGGGTGGAGTATGTTTGTGTGCGCTCAGATATGAATCAAATCGTTTTAGTGCTTAAATAAGCTCAATTTAATGAGGCCTCGAGGGGAAAATGACGCTGTACTAAACCAAAGTATAGAAGCTCTAGTAATGAACCAATAACATGTACCCCTTTCCAACCCGTATTAATGTTCTCATACTCTTTGGAAAACACTCAAACATTTTGGGACACGATAAGTGTTTCTGTGGGATGTACTTACTGGGAACAACACGATGGGCACGGTCAGAGTGACAGCAGTCAGAACAGCCACACGCACCATCAGCAACATGGTGTCGAATTTATACACCTTGGTGAAGGTGTGGAGCAACTCTGCCTCCACCCTGTCTGTTGGAGGAGAAACAGGAGGTTAGGGTGACAGAAGCCATGAAAAAGTAAAATGTTGGATTAGAGTTAAAGTGACTAGTAATGTTGAAGTGTTAGATTACTAGTCAATTATACAGGATTGATAGGGTTAGGGTTAGTTGTTATCAATTCACTATCTCTTACTGTAAAAGGTGAGGTATCCAAACAGCGCAGACAGCATGTACATGATGAGCATAGTCAAGATGGACAGGTTGGAGACCATCTGCATCTTCTTCCTGCTGCGACTGTTGAAACAACAAACATTAACTTTAATAGAGGTCACATTTTAAAGGCTCGGGTTAACGCCTTGGACTAAACATCTTGAACTTCAACAAGATGCAACCATCTGCAGGGCTGGATAGTGAAAACAGGTTGATCTAACTGACCCGTAGGTTTGTTTGATGACCCTTTCACACCAACGCGGTTCCCGTTTTAGCTCCGTGCTAGAGCTTTTCTGCTTCGGAACTGGTTTTTCTTTTCAGCCCCCGTTTTGTTCACACCGCCGAGAGCCCGACTGGTGCTGCCGCTGCTGCGTCATGACGTCACCGTTTACGTCGCTGATTTTCTCCCCAACGGCATCGGGTCGATGATCGTGTTGCTTTTAATCATACGAAGCCATATTAAATTAAATAACTACTTCTCAACCCTTGTACTTTTCTCCAGAGTGCCGTGGTTCATTGTTTATTAATGTGTTCAGCGGCATTTACCGGCCGCTGCAGTGCTGCCCGCTGTTTGGCATCACAACGCTGTTATGAACGTTTCTCTGGTATAAAATGGGTGAAGTTAGCATAGCAACCAAAGCTAAACTGACTATCTTGACTACTTGTTGCTATCCTATTGTGGCATAAGCCAGCACATTTTACCGGCGTATTTTCCATTATGATTCTACTTGTGATAGTCGGACATGAGTCATGACAACCGTGCAGCCCATGTATTGATTCCATCCGATAGCTGCTATAATACAAAACAAAACGTCTGCCTGCTCTCCACAATTATCAATGACAGCGAACGGATGGTCAAAGTAAGGCACAAATAAACAGAATCACACTAAGCCTGGTTAGTGTTGCCTGACTTTATAAAGTGTTTTTTTCTTTTTAAATAAGTGTGTGGTTGCGTTCTAGTCACTTTGATCAGCGCAACTGCTTGTAACAACTTTCATTTGCCGTACTCGCCATAAACTGTTATTGCTCAGGCTGATCCTGCCCCTGACCCCGCCTCCGACGTATGCGGTTTTTGCTTCTAGACCGACAATTTTTTTAAGCACCGGGTTTTGGAGCTTAGAGCCGGCTCCGCTGCGGTGTGAACAGGGAAAAAAAAGGTGCTTTTCAGGCTCTAGCTCCGAACCGGCCCTGGAACCGCGTTGGTGTGAAAGCCCCATGAGTGGGTGATCATGGTGCTTCACTGCTTGATTTAAAGTGATCACATGTACTTACTCTTTCAACTCGCTGTAGATGGGCAGGACTTCAGGATGGCAGACAAAGGCGAAGGCCAGGATGGGCACAGTGTATGCAGTCTAGAAATCAAGAAATCAAACACACAAAAATATAGATTAAGTCAGTAGGACAACCATGTGGCTAACAAAAATACACACTTATTCTAAGCTGAAGACGTGCATATTATTTGACTGTTGTAGAGAACTGTTTCTAGAGACTCAGGGAAAAAGGACCAAAGTGTAGAGGAAAATATGTTGGGACATAATGGCCTACAGTTTGTTGTCTTTGGTTGGAGCTGTATTTATTTTCCCTGGCAGTCATTTTTTTTTTTATCCCACAGTACCAGTTTGATGATGCTACAGTTACAGTCCCATGAACAACTTTCGTGAGACGTACATTTTATTATTCCATGTAACAGACCAACTGCATACTGTTCCTTTTCTAGACAATGTGAAAATCACCACGTGAATAAATCAAGTGAACAGAATGCTATGTGTCATATTCTTATCTTGATATATGATCATGTGGACACAGCCTTACACACACCCAACCCCACCTTTGAGAAACATGCCCTGACTGATATGCATTCAGTTTTATTTGTAGGTCTTAAGACAGATTACTGTAAGTAGGTCCAAACGTCAGCATTGTGACTTTATTTCATGTTTCAGAAATGGGAAACTTTGAAGTCATTGATTCAAATGGTATATGACCCATTATGCCTGAGTCAATTACACAACTCCACTAAATCCACAGCGGCTGCATTATGGAAGTCACACCCTTTCAACCAATTTCCAATAAGACGTCAAAGAGCTTCTGTTTATACGAGTTGGAAAATGTTTGGAGTCAGTTAGCAGTCATTTCCATTAGGTTTTATTATATATTTGAGTTTTAGGTTTCATTTTACTTTGGAGTAAGATTGTGAAGAATTCCCAAAATGGATAGTCTTCAATGAACTTGGAGTTTGTTCTGGGGTTACATTTAATTTAATTCAGTTAAATTAGCCAGTTACAGTTTTTTACCATGCAACATTTTTTAAAGTTTAGATATTCATAAAGGATGTAGTTCATTCAGATTCCATTATGATTATTTGCACTGCTTTAATTTTTACTATACTGAAAACCAAATGTACCATCACTACAAGCTAACCCATCGTACCTGTGAGTTGAAGACAAAGTATTTGGGGGTGCACATTTCCTCATCCTCGGCACGAGGCTCAACATGAACGGCGGAGGAGTGATGAGCGTCGTTGTTGCCTTGAACCGCCGAGGAAACGTCTGCTCGGGAAAAATCCATGTGTGCCGAGTGGTTCAGAGGGTACAGCCTGTCTGAGGCATTACTGCTGAGGTTGGAGTAGTGGGAATAGTAGGGAAGAGGACAGGGCACCTGAGTCTTCTTGTAGATCACCTGGAGAAGAACAACATGAGGTCACAACATGTCAAGTTGTACACACAACATTGATGTTTCCTGTTTTATTTTGAAGTTCTCTCTTATCTGTATTGTATCTGTTCTTACTTCCTGTTTGTCTGTCCTGGCACAACTAGTTCTACCTGTTCCTCACTGTAAGTCCTGCTTTTCTGTTACTCTTCGTCAGATCCATTTGTCGTTGTTTGTGGTGAACTGGGAGTTTTGTTCGGTTCTGTTCTTGTTCAGCCGTGAATAAAGGTATTTTCTGTTAATTGCTACTGTGTCCTGCATATAGCTCAACCCAGTTCCACTTACCCGTGACAGTTATTGCAGCTTAAATATATGTTTATGAGCAGATGTTCACAGATGCCTGGTGCATTTAGAGCAGTATCTATAAGCCTGATCCCACATTTTGATGATGGTTTTGCTGAGTTTTGACTTACCACAGCCAGGAAGAAGACCATGCAGCAAAGTGAAAAGCCGCTGGTGTAGCCCAGGTAGCCTAAAAGGAGAAAGTTATTGGTAAAGAAAAATTACAGAAACGGATACTGATGGGATGACACTGTTTGCTTTTCCTCATCTTCACCACATCTTGGTGTCTAAGTCTGTCACACCTCTGGGTTGTGACCTCTATCTTAAAATATCAAAAGTCTGATATGGGAAGCAGTTCATATTTGAGCAGCAGAGTGAATGAAGCTGTCTGGTGTGGTTGGAAACTTAATATCCCTCAATCCAAATCCAAAGCCTGCAAATGCCAGCATCCTAATGTATACATAGACACATTTGGCTTTGATCCTATTTGCATGTGTAACATTTTAATAGCATAATATGTTCTAAAAGCCTTCCTGGAGCTGAACCATCTGAGGCAGATCTGCATAAATTACGTGTGGGGGTGGAGCTGACAGCAGGCCCAAAGCAGTGTTTGGTTACAGTAACTCCTAACTACCACAGCTGACTAAGGGCTCACTAGGGTTACACCACACATGGGTGGTTGCAGACAGCTGCAAGAACATGGGAAATAAAATAGCTTCAGACTGCAGGAAGTGACATATATAGTATAGCAGTGGTTCTCAAATGGTGGTACGCGGACCCCTAGGGGTACGTTGGAGTACTGCAGGGGGTACGTGAGATTTATTTTATGTTAATGAAAAAAGAAACATAATTAATGCATTTAAACAAACTACTAATAGTAGATTAACTACTTAATTCAAAGGTTTACAGTAATTCTGGATAATAAAATGGGAAAAATAAACGGGGTGCTCTCTTTTCCTCTCCCTCTCCTGACAGCCCGTCAGTCTCGTGCAGATCGCTGAACCTGTAATAAGTGACCCGACAGTAAAGAATAAATATACTAGTTGAGCTAGTTCCAGAGTAGATTAACTAGCTAAGTGTGTTAGGTCTAACTCTTAGTGTATTTTGCTCCGCTCAACGGTCCGTCACAGCGGGGGAGCTTTGATCCGGAAGAGCTGCGTGTTCTCCGTCAGCAGCAGCTGATCTGATCTCTGATCTCTCTCTCGCGTCGGGTTATACTTCACTCGCGTTTATGTCCAAATCTATCAGATCTAGCTAGTTCTAGTTGATGATATGACGAAATATGACTGTGGCTTTTATATTAACAGTTACACATATTTCAAAACGCGAAGTGCAATAACTGCAGTTAGCCTCCCTGTCAGAATGACAAAGATCCTCAGTGAAGCACAAGCCCATGTTTCTCACTACATTGTAAGTACAACTTATTAAAAAGATCAGTTCAATGCAACTAATGTCGTCTTAGTGTTATTGCATGATGTTAAAATTGGTTTGCCATGAATTTAGTGATGGATTGTAAACATTTGAAATGTAGCATTTAAGTGTTTCTCAATTACAAGGTTGTTGTTTTAATAAATCAGACACTGATGGTGCAGCGCTGTACTGTACCTCTTTATATAGGCTTTTTGTCCCTAACAAATTGTTTCTGCGCTGATCAGGGGGTACTTGGCTGAATTTTTTTTTCAAAGGGGGTACATTATTGAAAAAAGTTTGAGAACCACCGGTATATAGTATCAGAACAGAGCAGATACTGAAATGAGCAGAGCAGATACTGAAATGTACAAATTGAAGGCTGATGTGATGTGAGGCCTTACCAAGATTTTTCAGAAGAGACAAAGGCAGAATGATTCCGATGGACACGAACACGACCAGGTAGTTCCCGTTCAAATACCATTCACTGCAAACATAGGTTAGAATAAGGTCAATCCCTGCACAGCAAGTATTTATTTCCTGATCCCATCAATTCATTAATTGCTGTGTCTACAAAATGCCAAAGAAAAATGTAAAATATTCATCGAAGTCCAACTTTACGTCTTTAAATGTCTTGATTTAATATACAGTAGATTAAGAATTATTGTGGTGGATTCAACAGTTGACAACTACTCAATTCATTTGCATATGGACATTGATATACTGTTCTTGCACAACATTTATCTTCACACACTCACCCAGTGATTTCCTCCAAACCCAAGAAGGCTCGGATGACTTCAGGCAGCTCGTACTTCACGATGAAGAGGTAGCTGGACATGGCTGCAGGACACGAAAACGCTTAAGATGTGAAACTTTGCTACATCGCATACAAATAGACTTTTTTATCAAATCAAGCTGATATACATACACATAAATTCACCACCTACCTCCAATATTCTGCATAATTATGGATCCAAATGCTGCTATCTTCCCCGGCCAGCCAAATGCTCTCTCTCCAAGCTTCTCATAGATGAGGGATCCTGCCATAGGAACACACACACACATATTAGCCATGGAAACATTCCCAAAAAAACGAGCTTATGGGAGTGACTGTCAGGAAACATCGGGTGTATTATATTGAACAAATATTAAAGTGTATTCCATCCAATGCACATCAATGACCACAAGGAGGGTGTATCGGGACAGAAAGTTAGTTGTGCTAATGTTGTTTAGTGGCAGATTTACATTCCTTTTTGTCTTACGTAGCACTTTGTTCCCTATATGATGTGAGCAGTTCAGTAAAATACATAGTTTGTATTGATTTTGTGGTTATCAATCCCAATGAGAGGATCTGAATCTGAAGTGAATACCAACCTCCTTCTTTTGCTGTCATAAGGAGCAGATGCACAGAATACAAGGAGAGGGTGGCCACGGCGGCGAGGAGGATCCTGCAGAGAGAGGGAGAGCGAAGGTCAGCATTTAGAGGACAGTTTGGGCATGACGACAACTAACCGGTGTATGTAGTGACCTGTGGTATTCTACAACCCGATAATTTGAAGACTTGCTACATTTATTGAAGTTTTCCAATCTAGCCTTGAATGTCTGTTGTCACATTTAGTGATACAATTGGAACAAGATCCTGAATTTGATTAAAATGATTCATCCAAATAAAGGTATCAACTTTATTTAATGAATATCACTCCTCAGTGTGCGCCTCCCAGACAGTATTTTGAGCGTAGGGAAATTAAGTTTTTTAAGACTTCACACCAACAAAAATCCATTCATACTAAATGTTTGGTTACATAAAAGTATGTTGCAGGTGATTACAGACACCTTTTTTCACTAAATGTAGCTGTTAAAAGCTCTGGAGTTATTTGAAATGTTCGTTATTCTGAAACAATCCCGCACAGCTACCAATGGAATCCAATTGTTCTCATATTATTATAACAGTAATAGCAAGATGGAGGCTATTATTATATCAAATATATCTTTGCTCTGTTGAGCTCCAGTTCATAAGGTGGCCATGCAGAAGGGGCATGGCCAGTGGAAAAGGGGTGGGTGCAGGGTGTAGGGTGACAGCGGGGTGTCCGATTTTGGATGGCACCCATGAATGCTGATAATGCACACGCACGGGACAGACAGAGTTGAAGGCAGAGGGGGCGGGAGTTCAGACATTTTTGCTCTATATATACATTGCAGGGGGTAATGTGACGATCATTTATATTTTCCCAAGAGTTCATTCTGTCTCACTGGCAGGTCAAACATTGCCATGTATTCTCATAGCACTGGTGACCTAACAGCAGTAGGGATTAGAGTAAAAGGATTTGATTATTTTACTAATTGTAAACTAGTTCCGGAAGGTAATAAATGATGATATGTGACATCTTAATTCCTTGTTTTACATTGCATTACGATTTCTCAACTTATTCTTGGATTTTAAGGTGTATAGACACTGAATAACACCCCTTTTTTCAGGAAAGTAATTTGCTTTTAGGTGTTTTCAGCACTAATATGTTTTAGTTTTGAAAAATATCGTCCACATGACTTCGGAATATCTAACCCTAACCCCATAAATCCAGAGTTAGCATGGACAGTGATTACTTTTGAAATAGGGTTAAAATGCTAATTTGCACTGATGTGCTTTTCAAATGTATCAGTGTGGATGTAGCCTTAATTAACCACACGGTTATTTTAAAGGCTTTGTTTTTGGATTTTAAAGAGACGGTATTAACAAATTTGTGTTGTAATGAACGACATTGAGTATCACCTGAGATTTTCATGGTTTTTAAATGACAACATATAGAAAATTGAGTCATTCAAAGAAATATCTCTATGGAAAAACTGGTCTCTGTAATGCAAGAATGCTGTTGTTTTCCCCCCCTTACTCACGTAAAGAGAACAATGCCGGTGTTGGCCATGGCGTAGGATAGGCCCAGGATGCCGCTGCCCATGATGGCGTTGCTCAAGTTGAAGACAGACATCCCAAAGGAGGTGTGGCCGGGATGCTGCTCGGAGAAAAAGAAAAAGAAAGTAGCTTTGTAAGAATCACACAATAAGAAGGGGCAGATAACTGATAACACAAGTTGAATCAGTAGTGTAACTGTTGCAAGAAGACGCTAAGCAAGAATGCAACGCCAGCTGTAAATACTTTGGGACCTACAAACAGTTTTTCAACAAAAAACCTGTGCGGTTCAAGCAGTTATTACGTTTTACTGATTGGACGCATTCTCCCTCAACACGTAACTGCCAACATTTCCTACAATGTCCTTTCAGTCCATATAATCCAAATAGTTGCGTTTATACTTGGGACGTTTATGTACAAAAATAAGACTTACATTTGCTACATTGTCATATTTTGTTCCAGCACTGTTATAACTGCCTATAATCTTCATGGCTGCTCTTACAATGACTAAGAAGTGCTACGTATGTGGCTTTCAGTGTATATTTAATATTTTTGGAAGGAAGGCAAGGAAATACTTACATATTCCTCATGGTATTCCTCATATTTCTTCTTCTTCATCAAACCATTTGCCAGGAACTTCTGACTTTCTCCGTCCTCATTGTCATCCATAAACTGACTGCAGGGATACAACAAATAAGTATTAGCACATGCATACACATAAGACAAAACTATTTTTATTGTAGGAGCTAATATAAAGTACATTTGCTTAAATGTGTTAAGAAAATACTAGATTTATATTACATGTTGTGACACAAAATGTAAAAATCAACTATTGTGTGGAGTAGGGCTAGGGTTAGGGTTAAGGTTAGAACATACATAGTGTAAGAAATGTCAATGTCAGTTAACCAGTGTTGGGACTTACTGTAACGCCGTTATTTTTGGCAGTAACTAGTACTCTAACGCATTACTTTTTAAATTCAGTAACTCAGTTACCGTTACTACATGGTGCGTTACTCCGTTAGTTTTTTTATATAGTCAACAGCCAGGCGAACAGAGATGTACTTAAGTACAGTACTTGAGTAAATGTACTTAGATACTTCCTGTGTCACATGCAGAGATGGGCTGTGGGCGTGTTTGTGTTGTTTACTAACAAGGCTATCATGGCGGCGGCGGAGCTCAAGTCTAGTTTCTCCACCTGGAGATATTCTCACTATTTCACTTTTGTCGAGCACAAAGAAAAGAAAGTTTCTGTTAAATGTAAGTTGTGTCTTGGCGGGTCAAAGATCCTATCTACTGCCCAAACCAGTAATTAAAATCTCTTAAAACATCTGCAAAAACAACATGCTGGGACGAAGCTAGTAACTAAGACCGGCACAGACCCAGACTCATCCGACGCCACTCCACCTCCACCTAAGCAACAGCGGCTGGATTTTAACCAAGGGACTGCTAGCCAGGGAAAAGTCGATAAAGCCATTGCACGGTATGTTGTAGAACACATGCAGGCTATTGCTACAGTGGAGTCACCCGCTTTCAGGGAGCTAGTTAGCATGATAGCATGTCCGGGCGGCACACGGCATATGGGACGGAAAACTTTTTCCAACTACCTGGAGAAAGAATATACAAACATGGAAAGCCAGCTAATATCGATGCAATCCAGATTGCATATAATGCATGTCAAGTTGATCAACAGATTGTATTATTCTCCAATGCAATAACAGTACTGAAATGAAGGCTATGGGCATTAATGGGAGCCCTTTTTTTAAGTAACGAAAACGTTACTTTTCACAGTAACGCATTACTTTTTGGTGTAAGTAATCAGTAAAGTAACTGAGTTACTTTTGAAATGAAGTAACTAGTAATGGTAACTAGTTACTGGTTTTCAGTAACTAGCACAATACTGCAGTTAACTAGGGGTGTGTGGATTTAAATCACAAGTTCCTGATGTCTGGGGAATGGGCTAAGGAAGAACCTATTCAATTTTGGATCGGATCCCAATCACAAGGCGGATACACACATTGTTTTTCACTTGAACAACCATGACGGATTACTCTGTTGCTGCCCTGATGTCAAGGGAGCTTCTTCATTTGATAAGCAATCACTAGTTAATCAGGCTTTTAATGCAGGAATCTTGCTGGATTTATTGTGTTTCTCCTAACCCCTTATGCTGTTCACGGAAACAGAGCAGTCACTAACAAAGCTGCAGCGTCAGACTGACTGGTACTGCACCGCTCATGTTGGATAGGAAATAGAAAAGTCTGTATCGTGGTTTCTTACCTGTCAATGGTGGCCTTCTCAGCATCGATGGGCTCTGTGAAGCGGTCGTCCAGGCTGTCGGTGCTGTCGTCATCGGCCTCCGTGGAGACTTTCCTCAGCTCCATACGATCCACAGCTCCCGGCATAGTGGTGCACAGCAGGGCAAAAGGCGGAGAACTTCGGTTTTCAGGATTTCAGGGTTTCCTCAACTTCTGCTAGACGGGGTTAGAATCGACCTACAGAAGACATTAGAAGAAAGAGACTCACGTTAGGAATGCCCTTTATCAGCTGATTACAGGCCTGTATGTATTGTCTGGCCTTATGGGACTCAACAGGGCCCATTTGGCCTTTAATCAGAACACTTTCACACAAAATGGGGCCCTCTACCCTGAAAATCAGTTCATCTCATTTCCTAGAACTGAGGGTCTGTTTGTTATTTTACCTTGAAGAGGCAATCTAGGACATGAAGCCTCATACAAGTCCATCAACAACAGCAGCCCTGTCAGCTTTATTGCTTTTCCATTTTACCCCCGCTTGATTTATGGTATTAACAACTTCATTTGTTTTTAATGATGGTAAACAAAATACAACATACAATAAAAGGCAAATATCTTCTAAATATAGGAAGATGTTACAATGTATGTAAAGTTTGTCACAGTTAAGTCAACAAACGTTGAAACCCGGGTCAAGGGGCTGCATGACTGCCACCATCAACAGGCTGCTTGTGTACGTAGGAGCTGGTTAACCCAGCCTCCCCCACCGCCATTACAGAAACAGCCTTTTCCAAGTAATGTGAGGAGAGCAAAGACAGTGAACAAAGCTTGTATGATTATAAATGCTACTCACAGCCAGATTTACAGCACTGTTTGTCAGTCACACAAAAAGCTCTTTGATTGGGTTCTGCTAACTCAATGACAAACAGCCTGAAGAAAACACAAACCATGGCAACACAACCACAACAATGCGATAAGTGTCAAAAGTCACTCTTTTGTTTACAATAATTTACAGCGCAAACAGTGTCAACCCACTGAAATACCATGCAGTCCACATATTCATGTTTTATAGTAGCTTAATTCTGTGCTGTGTTTACTAGCTAACTGCTAACGTTGTTTTCTGCTTTGTAAGAAAATTACACTTCAACAGCTAGAGTGAACCAAAACAGGCAATCTGATAGCAGAAAACAGAGTTGATACAAGTATTCAAAATGAAACATATATATATATAACTGATCATTGGTTTTTATCTTGAACTGCCAAGAACTTTCCAATTAAAGTTAGAGTAAAAATATTTTCACTCTCTTGGTTTCACTAAATGTCTTGGTTACATTTAGGAACATGATTACATAATTTGTAGACAATCAACAATTGGTCCAAGCAAGCATTTTTTTGTTTATGGGACAATGGGAAACACATTAAAGTCCCCAAAACCGTAGGCGGAGATTGACATTTGCGCTTGGGGGGGCAAACCTTTTTTACTGACGTCAGTACACAGTCCCAACTATTGCGTGGGGTGCTACGGATACAGAAGCAATAAAACCAGCGTTCACCGCACTGAGTATGACTTTTCCACATACGAACACAACTCGTCTCGTCATGCACGCCTCATGCACGCCTTATGCCTGCCGTACACACACACTCTTATGGAAGGGGCGGTCTCTCCCCCCAACAACAGTGCATTACATCTGTAAAACTTATCATAACTGTGCACATCTTATACTTATTTGATAACTACTATATCCCTTGGTTACTTGAACACGCTACAATATTATTAACCAGTGTCCTACTTAGTGCAGAAGTAGACGCCTTACATGTAAACGTTCCAGAAATTGGACGTTTTAAAAATCGCTGCATATCTTATTGTAATACAATAGCTGAATCACTTGTATGTAAAAAAAAAAGCGAGGGAACTTGTGTTCTTAACCTCATACGTCACACACACATCACACACACGTCACAACATGCGACTGCTCAAAAATGAAATTATTTTTTAAAAAACATGATATTATTCAGATTTGTATTGTAACAATCATTATATTACATCTACTAAAATATTGATATACGAAATATTTGTATTGGAACAGTTTTAGAAGTAGTAATGCTGTAACATATTTCAGCAACTAGGGGGGGCAATGCCCCCCCGCAAATTCCGCCTATGCCCAAAACGTTCTCTTTAATCAAATTACTAACATGTGGCTACCCTAACTAATGTAATAATAATTTAATAATAACTAGGGTTATAACTAATAATATTGTTTCACCTCCATCTATTTAAGCATTTCTTAAAGTTTTGAGGTGATTTCCCGTCCCTACAGATCACTGCTTTAAAACTCAGCTGGCAGAAAGTACTAGTAGGTTAACCCCCAGTTTCCACTGGGTCCGTCTGCGCCGCGCCGCGTCACGGCTGCGCCGCGTCACGGCTGCGCCGCGTCACGGCTGCGCCGCGGTTTTGGTCCGACCTCCTCTAGCGCCATAACCCACCGGACGCGTCCCAGAAGCGTTTCAGAATAACAGCGTGACTCAGTCATATTTGACCTAAAAGATTTTAAATCTCAGATCTGCTCAGGCCAAACCTGCTACACAGGTCTCAGCACTCAAGCCTGCATTACAATAGAGGCAGGGCCAGTCTATTGTCGCCCATCAGCTGTAGATAGGTAACTAATTAGAGGGGCGTGGCCCTACAGCTGTGAGAACTCAGCAATCAGGCGTCCATTTTAGGTAGCTCTTTCCTGGAGCGTCAGCTTCAGCGTCAGACAGACAAAGACATTAGAGTCCTACAGGAGTAAGACTGGCAAAGACATTAGAGTCCTACAGGAGTAAGACTGGCAAAGACATTAGAGTCCTGCAGGAGTCACGAGGGAGGCAAAGAGGAGGCAAATCCTACTCTGATTGAGCTAAGTATCGCTGGTGTTTTTTTTTTTACATTTTTTTTTTTTAGCCCCTCATGCTATAATCATGTGTATTTTCTCCATTCCTGTTCATGTGTCTTCTCGCAATTATCACTGGCCCCGTGTATCTCCTAATCGCTTTAACCGGCCTGCTCTCATCTATCCCACATGCTCCACTGAGATCCAACATCTAGTTTTAGGGGGCCTGTGGAACTGCCAGTCAGCTGTTCCTAAGGCTGACTTCATCTCTGGCTACGCCTCCCTGCAGTCTCTGGATTTCCTTGCTCTCACTGAGACCTGGATTACTCCATCCAACACATCCACCCCAGCAGCTCTCTCCACTGCATATTCCTTCTCCCATACACCCAGACCAACTGGCAGAGGAGGTGGCTCTGGTCTCCTGCTCTCTCCCAAATAGAGCTTTTCCCTCTTCAAGCTACCTAACTTCACTCCTTCCACCTTTGAATTCCATGCCGTCACAGTAACCCATCCTATACAGTTAACCATTGTTGTTCTCTACCGTCCACCAGGCGCCTTGGGGGACTTCTTGGAGGAATTAGATAATCTCCTCTCACACATCCCTGAAACTGGCCCTCCCGCTGTACTTCTCGGAGACTTCAACCTCCAGACAGGGAAGATAGACGAACTAACATCTCTGTTAACCGCCTTTGCTTTCTCACTGTCTCCGTCCCCACCGACTCATAAAGCTGGCAATGTCCTTGATCTCATATTCTCAAGGAACTGCGCTACTTCTAACCTCTCTGTAAACCCGCTCCACACATCCGACCACTTCTTCATTTCATTCTCTCTACCCCTTTCCAAACATAACAAACTAATCTAATCTCTTCTCATCCTGCATTTGTCCGCCGTAACCTTCGTTCCCTCTCCCCCTCTACCTTTGCCTCGTCGGTCCTCTCAGCCCTCCCTTCCTCTGACTCGTTCCAACTCCTGCCTCCAAACTCTGCTGCAGAAACTCTCCTCTCTACTCTCTCATCCACTCTGGACTCTCTCTGTCCTCTCACATCTCGGCAGGCTCGTCAGTCCCCTCCTGCTCCCTGGCTAAATGATGCACTGCGTGCTAATAGAACCGTCCTTAGGGCAGCAGAGCTGGAAACGGTGAAAATCCAAACACCGTGATGACCTCCTAACCTATCAGGCTCTCCTCTCCTCTTTCTCTGCTTCGATCTCTCAGGCAAAAAGCACTTTCTTTCAAGATAAGATCCAATCTTCCTATTCCAATCCTAAAAAACTATTTTCCATCTTCTCCACCCTCTTGGACCCTCCAAAAGCCCTTCCCCCCTCCTCACTTCTGTCAAGCGACTTTGTTACCCACTTTGAAAAAAAGGTTGATGATATTCGCTCTTCTTTTTCTGACTCACCTTTACTCACCGCTGGGTCACCAGACCCTCCTTTCACCCACACACTAACCTCCTTTTCCCCTCTCTCTCCAAGTGAGGTTCTTACCCTCATTACCTCTGCCCGCCCTACCACCTGTCCTCTGGACCCTATCCCTTCAAACCTCCTTCAGACTATCGCTCCTGATATTCTACCGTTTCTCTCCCATTTCATCAACACTTCTCTAACTTCTGGTCACTTTCCAAACAGTCTCAAGGAGGCAAGAGTAAACCCTCTCTTAAAGAAACCTACTCTCAACCCGTCTGATGTTATAAACTACAGGCCTGTCTCTCTCCTCCCGTTCCTGTCTAAATCACTTGAACGCGCTGTCTTTAAACAACTCTCCTGTTATCTCAATCAGAACAACCATCTGGATCCGCACCAGTCTGGTTTCAAGGCAGGTCACTCCACAGAAACTGCCCTCCTTGCTGTCACGGAGGAACTGCACACTGCCAAAACTGCATCCCTCTCCTCTGTCATCATCCTGTTGGACCTGTCTGCTGCATTCGACACGGTGAATCATCAGATCCTCCTTCGCACTCTCCAAAAACATGGAGTTTCAGGCTCTGCTCTTTCCCTCCTCACCTCATACCTGAAAGACCGTACCTACAGGGTGACTTGGAGAGGGTCTGAGTCCGACCCTTGTCAATTAACTACAGGGGTCCCTCAGGGCTTTGTTCTTGGTCCCCTCCTCTTCTCCCTGTACACAAACTCGCTCGGATCAGTCATTAGCCCGCATGGTTTTTCATACCACTGCTACGCTGACGACACCCAATTAATTCTGTCCTTCCCCCGCTCAGAGACCCAGGTCGTCGCACGCATCTCTGCTTGTCTAGCTGACATCTCTCAATGGATGTCTGCTCATCCCCTCAAGCTCAACCTTGACAAGACTGAGCTGCTCTTCCTTCCGGGAACAGATTGTCCCACTCTTGACCTAACAATCAACATCGGCACCTCAGTTCATTCCCCGACTCAGACTGCAAGGAATCTGGGTGTGACCCTAGATAACAACCTGTCCTTCACTGCAAACATAGCTGCTACAACCCGCTGCTGCAGATACACGCTTTACAACATCAGGAAGATACGTCCCCAGCTGACTCAGAAAGCGACTCAGGTTCTGGTCCAGGCTCTCGTCATCTCACGCCTAGACTACTGCAACTCCCTCCTGGCTGGTCTACCTGCATGTGCCATCCGACCTCTGCAGCTCATGCAGAATGCAGCGGCTCGTCTGGTTTTCAACCTTCCTAAATTTTCCCACACCACTCCGCTCCTCCGCTCCCTTCACTGGCTTCCGGTAACTGCTAGAATCCACTTCAAGACACTGGTACTTGCTTACCATGCTGCGAATGGATCTGGCCCTTCCTACATCCAGGACGTGGTTAAACCGCACACCCCAGCGCGTGCACTACGCTCTGCATCAGCCAAACGACTCGCTGCGCCCTCGCTGCGAGGGGGACCCAAGTTCCCATCGGCAAAAACACGTGGGTTTGCTATCCTGGCTCCAAGATGGTGGAATGAGCTCCCCATTGACATCAGGACAGCAGATAGCTTGCACATCTTCCGGCGCAGACTGAAAACTCATCTCTTTCGACTCCACTTCGAGCGATAGAACTATTACCAAAGCACTTATATACTAATAAAGGACTGGCTTATCTAAAGCCAGTTGAGTAGCACTTGAAATGTTTGGCTCTATGAAACCTGATGTACTTATATGATTCTGTTTTCTTCAAGGTTGTGTCTTCCTGGTCGAATGTACTTATTGTAAGTCGCTTTGGATAAAAGCGTCAGCTAAATGCAATGTAATGTAATGTCAGAAGCGTAGCGTCGTGCGTGCAGGCTCGCAGTTTTGTTATTGATTCGGGCATCCTGGACATTTGGCTACGTAGTTAAATGTTTTATTTTTGTGTCTGTTTAAATTGTGTTTATTGTTGTTATTAATTTCCTATTTTGTTGTGTTGTAGTCTACAGACACATTTAATAATAATTGTAATAGTTATAAGCATTGGTTACATCATATAAAATAGTGTGTTTTTCCACTTCCATGATGAAAACCTCGTCGTCCATTGTGCGTATCGTAGTGGAGGTGTTGTGATGAAGGAGGGGGGTCTGGCCCGGATGCTCACATTTCCACTTCCTGCGAGGGGGGGGGCTGCCTGCCCCGACCTTACGTTACGGCTGCGCCGCGGCAAAAATAGGATTCATCCTAATTTTAGAGAAGCGCTGCGCAGAGCCGCTTCTGGAACGCGTTTCGCAACAGTTTCTACTGAAGGAAGTGGTTTACCAGCACAGACTTTGCATCACAATGTGTTTACAGTCAACTTTCCACCATGCATTCTCAGACAGTCTTCTATTGTACAACACAGTTATCAGATGCACGTTGATCCACAAGACCACACTTTTTTTCTTTTTTTTTTAATGAAGTCTAGGTCGTTGATAGACTGTTGTTTCCTTTATGATGCTGCTTTTTGGGAAGTAGACTGCTTTAAGCCTTTAATAATATTGTGAGCCAACAGAGATTAAGCGGCTACATTACCATAAAAACCACATCACACAGGCCAGTGCTCCTAATCTCTCACTGTCGCTCTCTGCTGTGTGGCGGAGAACGCTTTTCATTGCCAAGAGGATTAACCTGTCTGACTTGGTTAACTTCGGTTTAAAGCTGGTGTTGTTACAACCATAACAGTACAGCAGCACATATCGAAACTCCCACTGAGCATGTGTGTAAATTCATCTTGAGTTTCCACTTGATGCTAGAACCAGTTTTCCTGCATTCATTTCAATAGATCCTTCCAAACAAAAGACACTCTGCCACACAGCCGTAGAAGAAAACAGCTGAGGCTGTTTGCATACTGCACACAAAATGCTAATGAAACGGCTAGAAACCAACGCAACAATGATACTGCAGGGACTGGTGATATCATGGTAATACTGTATGCAGACTAACTTCTGAAAGCGACCCAAGAGTTCAGATCCTTTGTGTCCTCTGCGTGTCCTGGGATGGCTTCACACTTGTGTTTATTTTAATGCTAAGTGCAGGCTAGCACACATCCTGCAGCCTTTTAATGATTACACAAGTTACAAACGTTCAAGTTTCTGTTGAATGAGTTCAAATATTCTTCGCAAACAGAGAAGCTGAAGACAATCTCAAACTTAAGATCTTCTGCATACTTTAAAAATAATAGAACACTTTGAAGCATGCCGTTAGAAGAAATATTTGATAATTTCTTCCCAAAATGAGTTTGTCTTCCCTGTGAAAACTCTCCTCTCACCTACATCCGCCACCCAAACAAACTCTTGCATCAGCTACCATCTGAGAGCAAAATGCCTTCACTCTTCAGAAACTCTAACTCTTACAGTAACAAATAAACCAATGTGCGGCAACTACTAAAGTGAAACTTTTGCTCTGAAGAAAATAGTTTGGATAAAATTACCTTTCTTTTTAAACAGCTTTTCCTTTAAATCAGCATGTTAAGGCTGGTAGATTAATACATATGCACAGTATGAACCACATTCTTAAAGCAAAGCAGACACACTCACTTGATCCAAAATTCCCTTAAAGAGGATCCTCTGATTGTTGCTTAATTTTCTATTTGAATATTTTTTTCCGAGACAGATGATAGACAAATGTGCGCGCGAGAAGCTGCAGCTCTTTCTATCTCAGGTGAAGGAGAAGGCTTTTAAAATAGAGGAGGGAGGGCCTCGATCAACCAATGAGGACACTCAGTTCCCTCAGGTCCTCCTTCTTTGAGCACCCTCAAAATGTCCCCAATACACACACACACACACACACACACACACACACACACACACACACACACACACACACACACACACACACACACACACACACACACACACACACACACACACACACACACACACACACACACACACACACACCACAGCAGACCTACTTGGCTTAATCGAAAGGGGGGCCAATGGCAGAGATACATGTAGGCACACCCAAAAAAAAAATATATAATTGAGTATTGAGAATATTTTTTATTAATTAAAAAGTTCTATTTAATTAAAACAATTTGCAAACATCACTAGAGAGACGACATTGCCAGAGCGTCAGCTACCATCCGACTGAAGACAGCCGAGTGCACCAATCCTGTTAAATACCCACGCCCGCTTCAAGACGGGATCACATGGCACACCACATGACCTACCTGTTTTATAGTATTGCTAAATCATACAGGCTGACAGGAGGCCTCTGTTGGCTGACACACATACGCACAAACTCTGATTGTTTCGTCACTGAACTGTCTCCTTTGAACCCACACACACCAACACAAATGTTTGCACATGCAGCTGCACACGCACAGATGCCCATGAATGCAGCGGGCACCTGTCCATGGTTTCAGGGGAGGCTGTGCCGCCCGCCGACCAATCAGAGGGCAGCGTTGGGACATGTTGCCTTGCCCAAGGTCATGTTCATGTCAGTTTTTTTTTTAATTCTCTGCCCACTTTGTAATGCTGTCCAAAAAAGGAACACAAACACACACACACCAACATGTGAGGGTCCAACTGCAACACAGCAGCTCAGAAACCGGTTAAATTCCAAGTGTAAATCCTGCGTCTGCCTATGACAGATTTACAGCAATAAAACGAAAAAGAAAGGTGGTAACTTTGATCTTTAGTGTCCTCGCTTTAATTAAGGACTTAATTACATATTTTTGAGGGCACACCCCAACATCAACACACGACCAAACCTGCATTCTGCTATGGATTCAGTTAATTGTAATACAGTAACGTCCAAGGAACAGCAACCAGTGTGCTTTCATGTAAAAAAAGTATGGGCTAATGCCAAATGCTAATATATACTGCAAATACCAAATGTTCTGTTATAATGTTTGTATGTTGACCTTACATTTCTGCCTCATGTGGTTATTGTATTCATGTTTCTGTGGTCTTCATTTTAACTTTTGTTCTTACTTGTGAAGCACTTAATGAAATCTATTTCTGTGAAAGGTGCTATAATACTAAATAAACGTATTATTATAAGTATGGCTGCTACTGTGAAACTCCTGAGTTCATCCAGTAGATATATATTGCTTGTGACTGCAGTTTTTTTTATTTAAAAGAGCTACTTAAGTTGTAGGAAAATAATAATAAAAACAACACAAGGCTGATTTGTTACAGTACATGCAAACACAACAGCTAGTAGAGCATGGTGTATTTCTATTGCTGGTTTTAAACTAACTTAAAACCCATCCCCCGAGAAATAAATCACTCTTTTGTTAGAGCTTAATTATGTGGGTGTAGGTCATTATATCCTTTATTTAACCAGGTAAAAGACTCATTGAGATTAAAATCTCTTTTCCAAGAGTGACCTGTCATTGAGGGGAAAAAGTGAAGCCACTAAATAGCTGTCACATATGTATTAAGTAATCCCCACAGAAAACAACAGTGCCAAGTGAAAGTCAAATTCCCACAACAGTCAGTTTTCCTTAAATGACATGGCAGTCCTAAGTGTGTGTCTGTGAGGCTTCACACACACACACTTAGCCAATCACCTGTGACTACAAAGCTGTCCCTGAGCTGTCCCGCTACATACCAAACAGGGTCAGGGTTAGCATGGGGAGTTGGGGCCCCACAAAGTAACTGTGCTCTCCACACACACATGAAAACAAAACATAGAGACTTTGTTTGTACAAAAACACACTGCATCAACTACACGTGAAGATCAGTTTAATTAAGTATCCATGATTTGGTCACCTAGGGTTGGAACACTTTTAATATAGATTCATCTTCAGATTCTTTCCTAGATTAATTTATCATTAGTTTGTTGTCAGAAAAAGGTGAAAAATGGTAATTTCCAGTTTATCAAGTTCTTTAAATATCTTGTTTGTCAGTTAATAGAAAGAGACTCAATCTTCTAATCCATTAGTCAACATAAGATCATCAATTTTTTGAGTCACGACAACCCCAGTTCAATTTCTTTGAAATTCTTCTGTAGCTATGTCGAAGTCACTTCACCAGGAAGTCCGTGATACTAAGTGGAATATCACTCATGGACATTTATCAAGCAGGGACGAGAGGCCACTGGATCGTCGGTTTGAGAACAAATGCCTTACTAAACTTTGTGTGAATATTTTAGTTTAAGTGTATTCTTCTAGATTTTTACTAGTTCAAGGTCTGGAAAAATAATTCAATATTACATTGAGTTTAGCAAATGTTGTAGGACTGAACCACTGCCGGACGATTTGAAGATTGACAGAAAATATATAATTGTTTTAGTAAAAAAGCTGTTATGGTCACATTTGTACTATTGATGAGAAAAAAAAATTGCTTTTATCTCGTCTCGTGAGGATAAATTGATTATATTGTGGGTTTTTGGGCAGTTGGTCTTGGAGAAATTTGAAGACGTCTGCTTAGGAGATGGGCACTAGGGCTGCAACAAACGACTAATTTGATAATCGATGAATCTAACGATTAATTAATCGATTATTCGGATCGTTAAAGTTTGAACTGTACTACTACTTTTATCGATACTGCTTATCGATCCGGTCCTTTAACGGTACTCTTAACGGTTCTTTTGAAAAAAAACAAGGTAAACTAACTAAATAAATTGTTAACACAATTAACATTGCTTTTTATTTAAATAAAATACATAATATTTCACATCAAAAGAAACAACAATATTTTAACAAATCATATTAAATAATGTGATGACAGAACTGTAAACAGAATAGCTAAGTTAACTCCGTGTGTTGCTGCTAGCATACATAATACCTGACGTGGAAACGTTACTCGTGGATGGGGTTATAGAGCTATAAAGACAGTCGAAAATGGTGCATTCCTCCGTCTGGATGTGGAGCACTTTTGCTAAATGTTTAGACAAAATGCTCGTGTTACCGCCCTGACATGCTAAACTCTTATTGCACTTTTGGCAACGAGCATTGTCCACATCGAGACGGGTAAAGTTTAACCACACCTTGGAGCGCTTCTCTCCGCCATCTCCGTCGTGTGTGTGTTGCAATGCAACACACGTTACATGTTGCAGAGCGTGTGTGTAAACTGCCCCGCCCCCTCGCACACAGACAGGAGAGAAATCTCTCGTCTGGATTGGAAAGATCAAAAATACATCATTTTGTAGTCTTATTGCATATTAGAAATGGAGTTGGCGACACTAAGACTGCGATGTAATGTTTATGTAGCAATAATACATGACATATGTTTTAAATGTCTCCAGTACCGATAAAAAGACCGATAACGTTGGAGCTTAACTGCCTGTGAAAAACACGTGATGACGTCACCAACGAATCGACAACTGAATTAGTTGGCAACTAATTTGGTCATCGATTTTAATCGATTAAGTCGATTAGTTGTTGCACCCCTAGTGGGCACAATAAAAGGAACATTAAAGGGTTATAGACCAAAATGAATATGTATCATAATAATTTGCATTTGAATCACTTTTTTGTTGGATATTTCTATCAATATCTTTAAAAGGTCATGAATGACATTTATATATTTCACATGCATTTATTTCCCATTGTCTAGGTGTGACCTCTTTTCTGTTTCACCCTGTTTGTCACTCTTTTTATTGATGATGCTGCTCTGTGATTTATTTTGTATTTGAACCTTCCCTGGAAAGGTTGGTCAATGCTACCCAAGCCAAAGTATTTTGGTAAAACGCTGTCATCTTTCTCTGAATCTGAAGAACCAGAAATACTTTCGTCATCATGGTGGACATGTGCATTGTGACATCAAAGGAGACTTCCTGATGTGGGAGTGGGGTATCTTTTGTAGGAGGAGAACACAGTGTTGACATCAGCTGGTAAACATAAGGTCGAGCGGGATGTTTCCGCCATGGATCTATGGGTTGTTAACCTCCACTTTGTGACAAAAACATCTCTACCGTGACACCGTGGGCTGTCAAGGTTTTTCCTCTGGTTGTTTGAACCAATAAATCCATTTCGTCACACACACACTTTCATCAATCAACCTGTACCTTTGTAAAGGCAGCCGAACGCCCAACTTCTCTGAGGTTAATGATCTGTCAGGGATTATTATGAGCTGGAATTTGAAAGCATCTAAATTAAGCCTATACCTCGAAACCCCATGTGAGTGGCTGCAAATACCACACAGAGTCTGCTGGTAAATCATTGGCCACATAGTATGTATACGCTAAACTAAAAGACAACTGTTTTTGGACTATCTTAAAAGAGCAAGTCACATTGAAATGCATGTTTGGATTTAAAATAATAAATGAAAAATTATTGGATTGTAAGGCTGACTTTTTTTAAATGTCACGGGTCCAAGACAACAGATATTTCCGTCCCCTGCGTGTGAATATATCAGCAGTATGTACGTGTTGCAAGAATGCGACCGCTATATGGTCTTACAGATGATATAACACAAAGTCATACTATTTGTAGAAATGTGTCCAATATTCGTTGACATTTACATTGAGATCCTTACTTATAAAACAACAGTCATTACATTTAGCTTTTCCCAACTAGCTAGGTCTTAAAGAACAGGAGAGGCAAATTGCAACCACAGTCCTTCCATGGAAACCACAAAGCTAATGTAATGAAGCTGCTTGGAGGAAGGCATGTAGTTGTTAGAAAACAACATCACTAGGAAACTAAACTGAGCTTCAGCGCTTTTCAGGGGGGAAGATGGACCATAGGTCAACAGGATGTTCCTAAAAATCTCAAACTTTCCTATACATTATGTTCA